TTTATAAGGAAAGAAGAAAAGTTTTTAACGTTTAAATTGCAAACAACATAATAAACAAAAGTAGTCATTATAAAACTTCATATAAACGCGAGAAAGTAGGAACATATAATATTGGCGTAAGGCTTATTTGCAGAGATGTACGTGTTATGCAAGAATCTCAACGTTTGTTCCTACATCACGATTCATACTTTGGAGCGAGAAGAGAAACACGGGGTAGAAGGAGAAGAGTAAAAGATAGGAAAATGGAGACTTATTACCATCCCACTTTAAATCGGATCGGTGAATAGATTGTGGATATTTCCACATTTGCAATGCCTAAGAAGGTTATGGGCCATTTCATATGTATTTTCTGTGTAAATAAAAAAATAAAGACATTTTTTTTTAGTGAAGTTTATTTAATGAAGGTACACCCGTTTGGTTCTGATTCTCCGTGTGTCAACGTTTAGTAGAAAAAATACGATATATAGGAGTTACAGATGCCTGAAGCACTATTACGTAGACACGTACATCCTTAGTTGCATAATAAGACAGATAATCAATTAATTACAAAACGTACTAAAGCAAATTCTGTTTGTTTTTGAACAATGTAATCGTACTGATTACGATAAAATATTTACTGGAGTGCACTAGAAATTAAACGATTCATACATTGTGTTAAGTCATGACCACGGTAATTTAAACAAACAAAGATCAATCATTTAAAGCACTTAACTGGTCACTCCATATTATTTATTACTACTTAGAATGTCGACACATACATTTGCACCTTTACTACGTAATACAGCATATTCTTTTTTGGTTCTATTCTAGTTAATGATATCAACCGAAATGTCACACGCTTTGGGGTGCCGATCTGTCGTGACAGAGTCTATAGAGCTCGTGATGTATACAATGGACAGGAAAATAATGACCAACGAAGGAAGAAAAGGAATATTTCCAGCGTATGAGTTGAAGCTCCGGACTTAAGCTGGACTAGGTAATGATTTTCTCTCCCCGACTTACAAAATTGCCATAGCGATTTACTTCTAGACATATAGGTAAATGATGACTAAAATACCGACCCAAGATTTCTCTTGCGACCAGTATATATCGAGTCTTAAAGAATTAGAATAAAAAACTATGTTAAAAATGTTCAAGTATACTACTGAAATAAGATAATATCATTTAAGCCTAAATACATTACAGTTGTAGTAAAATGGGTAACCTAATTGTTGGAAAATGCCAGATCCAACCTAAGATGCCACATTCTTTGAAATGTCTACTTTTATCGGTTTGAAATTTTGATTCAAAATCCGGTATTACCGCTTAGAAGAAATGTTCCCACCCATACCCCCAACTTTTCTCTTTTTAAATTACATTTGATTTGCCATTAAGCTGCCTACTTCACTGTCTTACACGTTAATCCTAATACACAGAGTTGATCTGTCCCGATGTGTATACAGTCCTTGGGCGACGCCTACCCTTAATTTTGTCAGAATTTCGCGTTTAATTACATTCATTATTTACATTAATGTGGTCAACTCCATAAAAATAGCTGTCATACACGGAACGTGTTTAATATCAATATTATTTAATATTTGTGGTTTCTTGTCATATTAAATATTCATTTACTATCGCTGGCGTACACTGACTGTGCCTCTGCGTTTGAAATAAAATTATTTGACCGTAGAAAAGCCTTTTTCGGCGATTCTCTGCATCGCCTACTATTCAGAGTCGATGCACGAGTACGGCATCTTCTGTATTAAAGCTGTTCAGAGTTTAGCGCGAGCAGGTGAAGTCGAGATAGATATTGCTAAGTTGAGCGGGGCTTAGGCGAAATATACGGTCGCCTTCGCATGAAGTCATGGAGGCTCGGTAGGCTTAGAAGTTAAGAGGATATTCCGGATATTTCATAAGGAGATATTATCACATTTCGTTAAGGGGATATTTCATCCATGATCTCATTATCTTAGGCATTTAAAACTTTATACTGCCACCTTCCACCACGCCTCACCACCAATTTAGAAATCATTTTTTCGGGCTTGTCCGATATTATTAAAAATGATCATACACCGGTGTAAATTTCAGAACACGCCACAGAAATAAAGGAATCCGAAATAAAAAAAAGCGCGTTATTTTATTCGGTGCAAGAAGACGATACAACAGATATTACAGAAAAGTCTCAGTGTGCTATTTCAATTCGATATGTTAATAATAATAAAAGTCTAAGTCAAATATCTTTGCGCTAAATAGACTCAACTAAAATTTTGTCGCCTACCCAGTAACACTAGTCACGAGACGCCACTGTTATATATGGTTTTATGTTTGCTTGGTTAGCATTTTGTAGTTCATTAATTCGATAAAAGTTTAAAACGTGAATTTTGATTTCAGCTCACCAAAACGCCGACCTGTTGGAGGACTGTCAAAAATTACTGGACAAGTTCAACTACCCCTGGGAGATGATGCCTCTGATGTACACTATCCTGAGGGACGCGAAGGGGGACTTGGAGGAAGCTTCCCGAAGGATAGACGAGGGTATGTATAAGCACTAAATCAGGTTTTAATGACGGCTAGTATAGCGGATATCGCCTGACTCATTAAATAGGCGCATTAAGATTAAGATTACGTTTATTAAGGTGCTTAAATAATTATGTAAAGTAGCCTTTTAAGTATAATAAGTTTAAGTGATGTTAAATAATTAAAATAGCTGACTTTTAACGACATGTTTTTACAGTATATGTTAAAGTAATTGAAGTAAATATATACAGTGGAATGCATATGTTGGATAAAGTGTATCTACAGGGTGTCTCTTAAGAAAAAAATATTTATGATACTGTCTTAGGGGGAGATCAAAAAGTGATAGAGATTATAAGTTTTTTTCGCTGTCATATTTAGAAAATCTTAAAAATATCGCTTAATATTAATTATACTATTAGGTATAGTATACCGGATGCATCTCAAAAGTGACTCACCCCCTATAACTTTTTTATTTTTTCAGATAAAAAACGAGGTTTGGTATGTTAGTATATGACATTGATTGACATATACAATTGTTTTTGGTCAATTCCTGTTACACCGGAAACGACTACAACTTTTTATTTTTAAATGGTACCCTCGGTATATTTGTACTTTATTCGATAGAATATGACACTCTGAATAGAATGACATCATATGTCAACTTTTGACATTTTCGTCTAAAACAAAATTAACAAACAAAAGTATTTTAAATTTTATTTCAATCTAGAATGCCATGGCTGTGTTAAAAACACTAATTTTTAATCAAGAAGCCTTGGAAAAATAAATTTGATCGTCTAATGTTTTAGTGTCTTGTCCTGGCCGAATAAAAGATGCCCAAATCGTATTTTTAATTATATCTCGATTTTTTCAAATGGACCAAGGGTGGCTCATTAGCATATTTGGAAAAAACATTTTTTTAGGAATAATTTGGTACCATACACTAGGTATTTCGAATCAAAATGTCGCTATGAACAGCATGTCACAATTTCAAATAAACAGTGGCGACTCGTCAAGGTAGGCAAGGTATAGGCGGCGCCTACCCTAAAATTTTGGCAGAATTTAAGCGGTTTATTACATTACATTATTTACTATTAATGTTGCCAATACATAAAAATACTGTTAATACACGGAAGTGTGTTTTAATGATCAATATTATTTTAATATTTGTGGTCTTGTATATTAAAATATTCACTATCGCTGGCGTACGCTGACTGTGCCGCTACGTTAGAAAACAAAATAATTTTGACCGTTGGAGTGCCTTTGTTCGGCGATTTCTGCATCGCCTACTATCAGAGTCGATGCACGACGTATACGGCATTCTGTCTCTGTCTAACACATCGTGCGGTAGTGACGCGACGTAAGTCGGAGTTGTATCGTATTAAGGCGGGGCTTAACGACGTATATACTCTGGAACAGTGTTGCTTGAGCGGGGCTTAGGCGAAATCTTCGGTCGCCTTCGCATGAACTCGTGGAGGCTCGGTAGGCTTCGATGTTAAGGGGATATTCCGGATATTTCATAAGGAGATATATCATATTTCGTTAAGGGGATATTTCATATGATTCATTATACGTAGCATTTAAAACTTTTAAATGAAAATTCAAAAAACGTTTAAAGCAAATTGGAAACATTTTTCGGGCTTGTCCGAGATTATTCAAAATGATATAACCGGTTGTATTTCAGAATACGCCACCAAAATAAAAGAATCCGAAATAAAAAAGCGCATTATTTTATTCAGTGCAAGAAGACGATACAGCAGATATTACAGAAAAGTCTCAGTGTGCTATTTCAATTCGATATGTCAATAAATGCGGCTAAGTCAAATATCTTTGCGAATTTTATTTTATGAAATATTAGATAAAATTGTATGTCTCAATTATTTTTATTTATCTCTTGCGGAACCGAAATTTAAAGAATCCTATAAAAAAATTTCCAACGCATTTAACATCTGATTTAACAAACTTGTTATATTGATACATTTCCAACGCATTTAACAGTGATTTAACAAACAAAAAATATTATTGACCAACATAATATATATGATCATTTCAATTATAAAATAATTTAAGGAGAATAATCCTGGAAATATATTTCCAGAGGCTTTCAAATTGTTTCTTTTGTTTGTTATATTACACCATTGACAAGTACTTGGGTTGAGAGACATTTTTCATGTTTGAAATGCATTAAAATTTATAGTAGAGATTCCGTGAAAAATAAACGTTTATCGTCACTTGCCTTACTTTCAATCTAAAAAGATCTTTTCACAGCTCTTCAACAATCTGATGATTTTATTGATATAATAATAAATAACTTTTCTTTATTAAAAGACTGACAATGACTGACTGATCAATTTAATATATAAAACATAATTATTCTTTTTCTCAATACTACCAATTTTTAACTTTGCGTAAATAAAAAAAAATAAAATAAAATTCTATTCATAGTGACTCCATTGTAATGATAAAAAACATATACATACTTGTACATTATGTCAGTCATTATGTCATTACGTTGAATGCTGTTATTTTTGCTTTAGTTTTGTCCTAAATATTCTTGAGCTATGTTTTTAACCCAGAGGTAACGTATATTTATAAACTGGGTTAGGGTATTATGTAAATTAGGGGGGGGGGCAAATAGACGCAACTAAAATTTTGTCGCCTACCCAGTCACAAGGGTCACGAGCAATGTCAAAACTTGACATGTGATATGTCATTCTATTCAGAGTGTCATTTTCTACCCAATAAAGTAAAAAAAATACCGAGGGTACCATTTAAAAATCAAAAGATGTAGTCATTTCCGGTAAAACAGGAAGTAATCGAAAACGACTGAATACGTCAATCAATCCTAATTTATGTCATATACTAACATACCAAATCTTGTTTTTTTATCGGAAAAAATAAAAAAGTTATAGAGGTGAGCCACTTTTGGGACGCATCCGGTATAACGTTTGAATGAAAGAATTGGGAAATTATTACTACCTTATTCATTATTAAATTACCTTATTTCTTCAATTAACGATATAAGATATAAGTAACATAATTCATATTACAAATAATGTTTTTAGATCTTTTTTACACTTCTGCGTTCTGCACATGGGCAAATGTACCTATATATTTATTATTTTATTTGGCTGGTCACAAATAAGAATATCCTGTTTGTTATATTATATTCTTGGTTTATTTTATTTCTCTGTATGAGTCATGATTAAAAGTCTAAATAAATAGAGTAAAAGTTACTAAACTAACTAGGTACAGATAAATTATTAAATTATGTACACATAAAATAGTTATTACGAACGCAGTGGTATATATAGAAGGAGGCAATGGGGCCTAGCCCCCCCTTAAATCTTTAAATTGGGTTAAATATTAGGCCTTTAGGTTTAAAATAGCGCCATATAAAGCATATTCTACATTACTTTTTATTTGGGCTCCCCCTAAAATAAATGTCTGTATCCGCCCTCGATTACGAACAGTTCAGAGGAATAAAGAAGAATTATTTATATATTAGTCTATAAGTTCAACAAAAACAACAAAATCTAGGACACATGCCAAACTAATGTCGAAAAATCTAAAAATTTGGAACAACAGTACGACAAAATTTTTTATTATTTATTGATCTCCCCTGTCGACAGCGTATATGGAATAAGAAGATTTTTGGATTCGCACTCTATATATCACTGATCAACCATTAAAATAAATATAATTATTTAAGAGTTAAGAGACACCTTCCATAGTAATAAGCTTAAGATTTAGGTATTAAGTAGATATAAGTATACTTATAATTTGTATATAACAATGTTTGTTTATTTTTGTTAATGTTTTGTATTTTTGTTAACAGTAGAGGAAAGCAACCAAATATGGAATAACATTTAGTATTTGTGTTATATAATAAAAAAGGTATTGTAAATCAAACATTTTTATTCTTAAGCCCCATACTCACACTTCGCTACTTCACTTCGTTCCTTCCTCGCGTCCCTTCGTCCAAAAATCTTATATTTACTATGGGAAAATGTCGATTTTATGCGACTGTGTTCCTTCCTCCTTCGTCAAAACGCTACTTCGTCTGTTTACTTCTTCGAAACGCTCCATCCACGTACTGTCGGTTTTTGGAGGAAGTAGCAAAGGAATTATCACGAACACAAAAAAATATTAAAATATATAAATCGATCTTGGATTTCATTCGTAGTTGATTTCTTGGTTTGGCAGTACGTCTGTACAAGGTGTCCCATTTTCGTGTGTTTTGCAGGGTTTCTCGTTTATATTTGCAGGGTTTCTCGTTTTCACATTACCCTGTTACTTTTTTATGAAACTAAAGATGCTACATACAGATATGTCCTAGCTCTCTTACTTCCTAAAATAGAGGGCGAATCGGAAATTATTGCATTTTTCGATCCCCTTTGTGTCATAACTTATCGAAAAGGTGAAAACGGTCTCCCGTACAGTTTTTCACGTAGAATGCAGTGACGTAACTATTTCTTCGTTGGAATCTGTCTTTTTTAAATTGACTAAAACTTAGATATATGTTTTTTTAAATACGATATTTTGTATATTATTTCATTTTCCTTTTTACGAGCTTTCTAAAATACTTATTTTCATAAACGGGGTAAAAATGCATTATTTAACTTTATTACATAGTCGGCCGGTTTAAATTAAGTAATCAAAACAATCAACTAATTTATTCAACGTAAAATGTTGGTTATTGGCATGTTATTTAAAAGTAGCACAAGTTCAGTTTCCGTGTAGTTTATCAAAATATCACGATGCAAAGCAAAATTATCTGGTAAAATTAAGTTAAATAAACGGCTCTTATTTTATTATAGCCGTTTAGCAGTTTAGCAATACCTAAATAAATAAATATAGAGTATATTATAATTTTCGAAAGCTCATAACAAGGCAAATAAAATAAAAAATAATATATAGAGTGTCCTGTTTAAAAAAAGAACATAAGTTTGAGTCATTTTTCGAAATAGACAGCTCCCAACGAAGAACCACTTTCGTCACTGCCATTCTACCTGAAAAAC